TCTTACCAATGCAAACATGATTACACCCCCTTTTCACTTAAAGTATTGAAGCGTTTTGCAAGCCGATTTAATGCGTGACAAATAGCGGCCACGAAATGTTAATCACGAGTAATCAATATCACTCGTGCATGTGATACCGTTTACCACTTTGAGCGTGATAGCGTTCAACAATCGTATGGCAATACGCGCCCATTTACTTTTGTTATAACTTTTTCTGCTGTCAACTATGGTGCTCCTTTCGGAAGTCGAACCTTAATGCTTTGCGTGTATTTTATAATAACTTGTTTCGCCGCTTTTTTCATTACCCACGTGATTATAGTGTAAATCATATGTTTGTATATAATCATGTCAATTCTTTTTACGAAATTTTTAGAAATCTTGTATTGAAATTTAGAGAGCGTATATACACCTCTGATAACAGTCTGTTGGTGAGCTTATGTAACTCTGATGTCTGTTGGAAGTCTGCCTTGTTCCAGCATTGGAATAATATTTTGTACTATTAATGTTGCCATAAGTACACTGACCTATATACATATATTTTTTGTTCATTTATTTATTTATTTTTCATACTAGTTTTATATGGACTTTCAAATGCTTGACAGTCTGAAATAAAGATAGATAATAATTGCATCGAAAGTCGCTACTTGCAGCTATATTTAGTGTTTGTTTTTTGAACTAGTATGTCCCCGAACTTGAAGCTGTACATCATTGTGACAGTGATGATGATTGCATTGTTTTAATTATAACAAATTAGTTCTCATTGCTTACTACTCTTAGTGATGAGCGTGCCTAATTAATTGTATATGCAAATTAGATTGTGTTTAAGTGTATATTCATCATGACAGACATTATGTTGAGTAATATTATCGTCACCTGTCTGTCAGATAAACTGGTTGCAATATTACAAAGGTCTTAACGCAAAGTGGAGCTTTATTGATGAGTCACAGGAAGTAGTGCTGACGTCACCACATTATGTGAAGGAGGCCATTCGAATAGCTACGGATGATGTCAATCCAAGGTGAGATTATCGCTAGAGGGCGGACTGCTTTCTTGGTTTCAATTAATAACAACTTACAGTAATCGTTTACTGGTATGTCAGTTTTATGTTGTACCTATTTGCATGCATTATTTGACAGGACTGTGGCAAACTACATGATATGGCGAGTAGTTCTAAAAGTTATCAGTCATCTCAGCACGAGATTTCGGCAAGTCTCGGATAAATCTCGTGAGATGTTCATCACACCGGAAGATGACTCCGATGATAGCGACAACACTTATTATCCAGATTCAACATGGCGGAGATGTGTTGACGAAATCAGTAAAGAGTTGGACATGGCAACGGGCAGGATGTACATCGATGCATATTATAATAACAGTGATGACGACATAAAAACAGTAAGCGCAATGAAACGTAAAACATCAAAAATAATGATATTGTTGTGAAAAACATGCATACCAAAAAGAGCAAAATAAACTACTAGTATATGAAAACGGTTGACACAAGAATTATTATTGACATCCAATAGTGTGCCCATGCTTCAGTGTTTCTTTTTTTTATTTATTACATTTATTAGCATATTGTTTAGTAATCATCATAGATTTGTCACTCATGTTTTCCGCGAGACGTTCTTACGAAATACACGTCCCCTGTTAATGAATTATGATTTTTACTTAGGTGAATACTATGGTAACGTACTTAGAAGACGCTTTTATCGCCATGGTATCTGAAACAGATTGGATGGACAAACAAACAAAGAATACAGCCATTGATAAGGTGGTTATTGTTGCTATGTTCCACATACGAGCATCACCTGAAATATTTTTCTACTGTAATACAATTATATATTCAGAAATAATAATATTTGGTTCGGATGGGTATTTAAATATATATACGAAAACGTGCATTGAGTTATCTTAGTACTAGTATACTGTGTACGTACTGTCCAAAGTGTTCGTACCAGAACACAAATATGGAATTTGGTGTCCTCCATTCTATATATTATCCTAGTCGGCGGAAGGACAAGAGGGACGTGAGGGGTATCGTTAAGGACGCAATTTAAGCGTCACAAACATGGCATCACTGCACGCAGTGTTTGATATGGGTCATCTGTGACGTATACAACGCATGTAAAATACATTATTTAATTATATGTTAAATTATTCACATTTTCGTGAAAAAACATTTGGGGTCACTAGTCAAAGTAAGGAACTGTTTTTACTGACTTACTGTATTTTTTAGCATTGTTTTCTATGTATCATATCAAACTAATTTGGTTGGTGATGGATCATGATATATTCAAGTTGTCATTAGTATGGTTCATTTTTGTTGTAAATTTTCAATAAATTTACTTTTATTTACGTTGTTCATGATATGCTACGAAGGTTCTTTAAAAATTCGAAATCTCCGCAAACTTTTAGTTCCAGTCTGCCCCGAGTGGTTTAATATGCGTACAAATTTAATTCACAATATCAATTTTTCTCACAAGGCAATTGCAATACATCGGCAAATTGGTTACCCTAAGTGGTTGAAAAACGACGAGAAACTACAAAAATATTATGATGACGTAAGTATATATGCATATTCATTGATTCCTCGCCACTTTGCACGTGATGATAAAACAATGCCATGAATATTAACTCACGTTACTGTGTATCGAATCCACAGTGAGCTGGCATACGTACACGTGATAATAATATACATACGATTATATATAATATTATAAATTTACCAATATGTACTATATGAGGTAGCCATCTCGATTACGGCTTGAAACTAAATAAACAGACCTGTTTCTCAAAGTGTCTGTTTATTTAGTTTCAAGTATAACGTGACCCGTGATAAATAACGACGTAACACACTCTTTCTTTTTTTTTTGCGTCAATACTCATTGTTGTTCTAGTTACTTTTTTTTACTGTGACTTTTTTTTAACTAACCTGTACTCGCATAGCACTAGTATGCCTTTACACGCATTACAATAATATTATTTGTTTTAATTTGACAGCTTAGTTTCTCGCGCTATGAATATTTCGAAAATTATCTTCGTTATCTCGCTTGGAATACTCGTAGGGAATTTGATCAACTTGGACGAAAACCAGTGAACGAGTAAGTCATAATCATGTACAAATCCTCGATCTCGGTTATTATAACTGTCTATTTGTTTAAATTTATTTTTTATTAATTACTGTGTTACTTCTTCTATTTATTGTTTTATCTTACATAATATATTTCATTGCCAAGTGGAGCTCTTTTCCAAGTACGTCACGAAATCGGCAATTTTGTTTCAGCCTCGTTCGTGGCACATCGTGTTATAATCACTAAAATAGTTTACCAAATATCTTTCAGCCTCGTTCGTGGCATGTCGTGTTATAATCACTAAAATAGTTCATCAAATATATATCTGTCGCAACACAACTGGGCTGGCAAAGGTATCGTTTGTAGTAAATCGCACGTTACAGTGGTGCGTTCTGTTCAAAGCGACACTGCCACCGTAGCTGCACATGTGCGTATGTGAGGCTTACAAAACACGAGT